AGAGATGATATCAAAAAAGAAACAAAAAACAGATGGAAAAAAAAAGAGATGCATGGCCAGATACTTAGAGAAGCTGAAAAGGAAACTATCAACCAAAAGAAATCGTGGGAATGGCTTAAGTATGGAGAACTGAAAGTGGAAACAGAGTCTCTCATCGCTGCTTGCCAAGAACAGTCAATAGCAACTAATTATCTAAAGGCCAAAATCATCAAAACAGGTACAGATCCTAAGTGTAGACTATGTAGGACGGAAAATGAGACCATTCATCATGTCATGTCAGGTTGCTCGATTCTGGCAAAAAAAGGAATATTTGGAACGCCATAATACAGTTGCCACTCACCTGCACTGGGAGATCTGCAAATACTATGAAATTAAAGTTTCAGACAGATGGTACGAGCATAAGCCAGATCCTGTAGTGCAAAAAAATGGGATGACCTTGATATGGGATACACAAATTCAAACAGACCGCTCAATTAAGGCAAATAAACCAGATTTAGTGTTGAAGGATAACAACAAGAAAATATGCCTACTAATAGATGTCGCGATCCCTTCAGACTTCAATGTGACTAAAAAAGAAGCAGAAAAACGCATTAAATACAAAGACCTCCAAATAGAGATTGAGAGAATGTGGAATTTGAAGACTAAAATTGTCCCGGTGGTCATAGGAGTAACAGGACTGATATCCCACAACACGTTTGCAGCCTTGAAAGATATCCCAGGAAAACACTATCTCTTGAATTTACAAAAATCTGTCTTGCTGAAAACAGCGCACATTGTGCGGAAGGTTATATAAAGATACTAAGCGAAGTAGTTTGAGGAGAATAGACCATCAGATAACAAAAATTCATCCTAGGTGCACGGTGTGCACTCGATGACTTTTGCACTATGAAAGACCATAAGAAATACTTATGTGAAATTTCGAAAATAATAATAATAATAATAATAATAATAATAATAATAATAATAATAATAATAATAATAATAATAATAATAAATACCTAGGTGCTAAAGATATCTCCATTTAGTCCACAGAGTGATTTTTCTAGAATACTCCATCGTGTTCTATTTGGAAGAGTGGTAAATACACAGCTTGTAAAAACACGACAGGTAACCGCCAAAATATACCGGGTTAATCAAATTTTGGCAGACTTTGTGAAAAATATGGACTTCGTCTACAAGAGACAAGAGCGGTTTTCTCGCGTTCAGTTTTTTGAAACTGTTCAAAACAGGTTTAGTACAGTCATACAAGGATTCATCTGCCGAGTGAGCCTAAATTTTGTCTACACCTTTATTTTACCTCAAGAATTAATGTATTAAAAGTCCCCACCGATATCTTGTTTGCACTCCAAGATATTCAAGGTCAAATATCACAGTAATGAGTTTTTCTTAAATATTTAGCTTTTGGTATATCCTACGACTATTTTGGCTGAAATTATTGGAAAATTCTCTTCAAAAAATGTTATTCACATATTTTACGTCATACCAACCTTTTCCACCTGACACTCCAGGAAAACAGAGGGTAGCACCCGTTTCCATACCACCCCAGAGGTGAGATGCAATGATGCAAAGCGCGTTTTTTTTATATTGTATTTTTACTGTAGGCCTAATCCATGATCTTTCTTATTGTGATTCTTAGATGTAGGATTTGCAATATTCATTCTCGTAATCTGTCCCCTCTTCCACGACGTACAATATTTTCAAATAATAGTCATCGCTCTTGATTTACTTGTTATAACAATATTTCTGTTATTTTTTTAATGATTGTTGAATCGTCCGGGACATAATCCAGTTCAATTTTTTTCAATTGACCCAACGTAAACTGGCAATCCTCATTATTTTCAATGTAATAGAATTTTTTTTCCATAGCCTCAATTATTCTTTCATCTAATGGACGACCTTTGGAACTAACCGATTTTGGTTTAATAAAAGAATCAAAACACTTATTATGATACCTTGCTTCTGCAGCTACTTAATCGTATTCAGAAATAATACGGTCTCTAACGGTTTTTCCATAGGCCGAAGACACAATGACCAATACAAGGTACCATCGTCACCAAAAGTAACTGGGACAGCATCACATTAGCTCTTGTCCTATTATATAAATTTCATTGTCAAATATTTGTCAAACTATAATTTAAATGCATTGAAATGAATGACAGTAGAATTAATCCAGGAGATTATTATGCATTATTTGTGTCCCAGATACTTTTGGTGACGATGGTACAAATGACAGATACAAAATACCAAGAAATCGAAATTCCGTTTGTATCCTGTATCCATTTATTCTGGGTTATAGCATTGATACACGTGTTATTATATTTTTATCTCTTGTCACTTGTACCTTGTATTTGTTGTGTCTTCGGTCTTACGTATCACTGCCTTAATGACAGTATCTTTAAATATGAGTGTAGTTACTCATTCTAATTATACATTGATATTTCTTAGTTTTTTTGTCTCTTTCCTCGTTGGCTTCTTCACCAAAGTTTTTAAATCAAAAGATCCCAAACTAGAGCGTGTTTTGCGAAGAAAATACTGAGATGTACCGGCATCATCGTCATCTCGTCGTCTTCTATATGACACTATGCTACTCCCCTAGGACACCAACCTCCAATTCGAGGATTTATGCAGGTTCTCCTTACGACGAACTGGATTTTTCGAAAACCTTATTTCGCGCCCGGAGGATTTAATCGTTGGCTCTCTTTTGTCTTTCTTCGTGCTCGTAAGCAGTTCGCACCAACAATACTAGGGGGGCTCGTTCACTGGCCGCGTAAAGCGATCCCGATAGTGAGGGGACCCTCGCAAAGTATTGTCAGCCTAATACGCGATCCAAGTGCAGGGTAAGCAAGTCACCAAACTTCTGTCGAGAAATATAAGGGGACTTTTAGATGCTACTATGTACCACTCCTTGCGATAGTTTTTATGTATTGTTACCAAATCTGTATCCCTTAATCGTTCTGCAGGTTCACCTTTTCTTTTCGCACTTTCGTCTCTCAAAGCATCTATACCGCGTTTTACAGTCACTGTTACACCTTTCAAGAGCGATTGACTGCAACTGATGGGTAATTAAATCACAAAACGAAACGTCTAGACTTCTTGCCAACTAGATTTGAACTGACTTACATCGACTGAATGCGATTAAAGCCGGCGCCACACGATGTGTCCAACCATTGGTCTCAACGTTGGATCCAACGTTGGGTGTAGTGTTTCGCACTAATCGCACTCTACCATTTGGCAAATATGTCCGATGAGCGTACGGCTACACGATGCCACAAATCCCTATGTGTCCAACGTTGGAAGGCATTCGGTACATCGTGTGACACCGGCTTAACCGGTCGATCATAGTTGACAGATAACCAATGAAGCAAATGTCATTTGGCCAGCAGTCGTTATTAAATGACGTTTACGACTTTTGACCTTGAATATCTGAAAACGCAAGCGCGATATCGATGGGGACTTTTAAGACATTATTTCTTGATGTAAAATAAAGGTGTAGACAAAATTTAGGCTCACTCGGATTTTTTCAGCAGATGCTACTTTTTCCGGTCTAATATAACTGAAGTAGTTTGAAATAGTATATTCTCGCGATGAGCCCATGACGTCACACAAAGTTGGTTCAAACCGTTTTGAAATACAATCCAATCCACGTTTTTAAATCATTTTCTTGCGTTGAGAAGTTATGACGTCATTGTGCAACTGTATTAAACCAGTTTTGAAAAATGTTTTAAAACTTTGAGACGCGAGAAAACACTTAAGAAGTGGAAGCTCGAAGACGGAAAAAAAAATCCACAATACAATGGATGAGGTACCTAAACACTGATGCTGGGTTCGTCAAGAAGTTGAAACTTCCAGTGGCGGCTTGTGACTTTTATTTTAAGGGAGGCAGCCCAAAAAAAAAAATGAGCGTCGTAGGTAAATTGTTTTTGGGGGGGATTAAATTATATAAAAATTAATTTTGAAACATTTTTACAAGGGAGGCACTGCCTTCCCTGACGAGCCGCCACTGGAACTGTCCATCAGAGAGTTATGAAGTTGAAATTGTTCGTGAGGAAGTTGGAAGCTTCTGCTAAGAAATGTATAGTGTTCAGAACAATAATAAAAATGTGGAATATGACTTGAGACCAGGAAATTTCTCAGCGTTCCCTGCAACCGTAGTATCAGAATTATCAAAGTTAAGACTAGCACCGTACTACGGTCAGATAACATAGGTGATGTAGAGTCATCAGTCCAAGACCGTTGCAATTGCCTTAGAGGAATTTGAAACCTAAATCCACCTTTTGGATAATTTGGCCTACCTGAAAGCGGTTGCAGCAGAAATACGAGTACAACTAGTGACCGATAGTTTTACATATGGAATCAGAGATATGGATATACAGAGAATGCTGCTCATAAGCAGAAAAGCTCTGTTTAAGGCCATAAAAATCGAGGCGGCCTATGAAATTTCCGAATCAAAGATCAGGAGCGAAATAAGAACCCATAGGAGGAATTATCAAAGACTCGATGAAGGAATTTCTAAAAGAATTACGGAAGGCTGAAAATCGTAGATGAACTAACTGAAGCTGACCAAGTTTTGCATAAGAAGAAATAGGAAAACAGTAAAGATTTAATAGTCCAAGCATCCAAAGGAAAACATTGCGAAGTTCGCCAGTACCATCAGATTAATCATCTGGTAGCAACTTTGCTCACCCAACAATTGACTCACCATCGTAAGAATATATTTTATGTAATGATGGAGGCGAACTTCAATTACCTTCACTGTCTCGTTCACGTGTTAAAATGAGCAGCCGTTTTGGGAAAATATCAAAAAGCAAAAACATTTATCCATATCGACATTTAGAAGAAGAGATGACCAATTTGCGCAATAATTGTTTGAGTGAATTGCTTCATGTTTCATAAAGGAACGAGGAAACAAATCCTTTTGAGAAATCTCGTAGTTTGCAAATTTTATCATAAATCCCAAAACAACACTCACATACTCAAATTCAAAATTGTGTTCAAATTACCTTCAACTTATTTCCTCGATTTTTCAAAGACCTTTGCGTCTTAACCAATTCGTCTCGAATGCCAGGTCCAGGTTGCTTGGCCAAAACTTTCCTCAGATTCAAATACAATCGTTCAGCTTCTTTGAGCTTCCTCTCTTTCTCTACTGCTTGAGAAGCTTGCTGAAGCAGCCTCCTAAAATCAAAAATTTCAAACATGCAAGCAACTGTGTCGAAAGTTACTTTTGTAAGCTCCTAATCTTCTGTAACAAATCCACTACCTCTGGATCAGACCCCTCCAATTTCCGCCATCTATGGATATTTAACGGATTCTGCGCTTCTTGTTCCAAAGCTTTGCATTGCAGCCTGGCTTGAGTCAAATCGCGTTCCAAATGAAATATTTCCTGTCTCAAATCGACCATATTGTTCATGGATTTGGCAATTAGCATTTTTTCTTGTCTCATGCGCTTGATGACGATTTTCAGCAGTTTGATGTCTTGCAATCTTTGGTCGTATTGGGTTTCACCTAAAAATCAAATTTTTATCATAAGCTAATGGTTTTGTATTAGTTTACCTCTAGATAAAGTTGATCGTAAAATTTTAATTTTCTCATGCAACAAAGCTATTTCGTCATTTCGTCTGACTAACTGAGAACCCAAAACGTCTCTTTCATTCATCAGCTGTTCAGTGTCTTTAATTTGAGATCTAATGACTTTTTCGTGTGCAAGTATGGTTTTATGCAAACGTTTTTCTTCATCCTTTTGTTCTTTCACGTCTTTTCTCAGCTCTCTGATTTGGTTTAAGCCAGCCATTACTTCAATCCTGAAATAGTCAGTTAGTCAGCTAAGACTATTTAGTTATTATTACTCACCTTAGATTATCTTTTTCTTTGGCAGCTTTCCTCAAAGTATTTTCATCTTTCACCAATAGTTTCTCCTTCATAGCAACATCTTCTTTGAGTTGTTCGGTTTGATGAAAAACAATTTTCAATTTCTTCTTCAGCTCGCCACACTCCGCTGTGGATTCTTGCAACGATTTTTGTAACGAATTCCTGTCGGCTCTGATTGCCTCGTAAATATTTTGCTGTTGTCTCACTTGCATTTCCTTTTCTTGTATAGTTCGCTTCAAGTCGAAGATTTGCGCCTTTTTCGCTCTAATATCGTCCATGTTGTCCTCAATGGTTTTGGTAAGTTCTAATTGTTCTTCAGCCAATTTGTCTCTTTCCCTTTCCAGTTGATGTATTTGCTTTTTTTGCTTGCCGCTTTCTATGAAAAATGTGTCCAATTCAATTTCCAACTTTTTTTTGCTTTGATTCTGTATTTGAATCAGTTTTTCTTGATCTCGGGCAGCTGCTTGATGTCTCTGGATAGTTTTGTTGAGTCCCTCTTTATCCTTGCTAGCCGCCTCTAAGGCCCGTCTGTCTTCTTCCATGAATCGCTTGTAATCGTCGACTTCCTTTTCTAAAACAGCGATTCTCTGACGCATATAATGTCTGTCTATATTTATTTCGTCTTTATCTCCGTTAAGCATTACGATTCGTTTATCTGCCAGTTCTTTGGCTTTGATTAATTTTGCTAAATCGGTCTTGAGACGAGTGTTTTCTTCTTCGGCGCTCTAAAATGACACAGACTATTTATATGGGCAAGTTCGAGGGGACCACTTTGACTTACAAAAAGCGTTCTGGTGTGGCCTTTCATTGAAAATTCGAGTTTTCGACATTGTAGGTGAAACAAAAATGTAAAAATTTAGTAAAATTTCGCATTTTATTAAGGAAATGACGACTTGATATCAAGAACTCCATTCCGAGAATGCATCAATTCGCACATTACTGGAAACACGCAGGGGACAAAACTATAGTTTCTTGCCTCTTCTGAGCAAAATCAAAATGCCAGAGAGTTAACAAAAACAAGAGGGAACTGAAGAGCTCTACTATGAGTTACAAGTTCTCAGAATAGTATAGAGTGTATAAATCAGAGTTATTGTATCTATCAATATATTTTATTTTATTTACAAGCGTTTGGTTATGACGTTTTTACATAACCATTTTTCTAGTATCTGAGTTATGTTATGAGACTCATAACACAACTAGGGGTGTTATAGACTAGGTTATGAGTCTATAACACAACTAATGGTGTTATGGACTAGGCTATGAAGGTAGACAACTGCTAATAAACGGAAATTACAGAAACATTTTCTTATTTTTCGCTTTGTAGATAAAACGTTGTACATCACACGTGCGCTTAAACATGACTACAAAACTTGTGTGATTAGAACGACTCGGTCTACGATCTCGTCGTTCTAATCTTTCACACTCATTATTGTAATCATGTTCATAAACGCACTTGTAATGTAAATAACTATTATATTGACCACTAACTTCAATCTACCGTTCTGTGATCTACCTAACCTTACTTGACATGACATATCCTTTACTGATACTGGTAGTCAAGTGACTATTATACCATCTCCCCTCGAAGTTTTGAAAATCTAAACATCATTCTTCGATTTTTTCTTCCAAAAAAGGTGAAAAGGTCGTAATAAATCCTATTTTCGCTCGGTGTTTTTCATGTTATACCATCCATTTCCCTTCTATTTTCTATTATTATTTCAGCTTTATCCCATCTTTTAGGATAAAGCTAACTTTGACTCCAACATGGATTTTGGGTGAAGTTTCAGCATTTCTATTGTTATTACTTTCTATTGTATTTCTTTTTTATTCTATTTCACTCTGGACTCTGGACTAAATACTTTAGAATGTGCTGGAACTGAAGAGCGAATGGGATAGCCACATAAAAAATTTTGCAGGTGATTAACCATCAACTTTAGGTGTATTTTGTATTTCTCCACTCTAAAAGTCCTGGGGGAAGCATATTTTTCTTCATCCAAATGTCCTCCTACTAAACATTTTTTTTCAAATAATATTTTCATGGATTTAACAGCTGCCTCTCCATGACCATTACCTACTTTTTGATGGATGGACATCCATCATTATTAACTTTTTTTTAATAATCCTTTAAATTCTGATGATGCAAATTAAGGACCGTTGTCTGATCGAATGAAATCGAATTGGCCCTCCAGTAGCAGAAAAATTATCATTTTTAATTTTGCTTGAATTTGGCATTCTATTACCATACTAACAAACAAAAGGCCATCCTGAGAGGTTTCGATCTTTGTTGTGATTCTTATCCACTCGTTGGTCTTGTGATCCCTAGTGTTGTTACGTGCCAATTTATTACGTGGCAAAACGTAACGGAGAAGTTAATGATAAGATTTGAGGAAGGGAGGAAAGTTAATGGGTAACTAAAAAGAGAAAGAATAGAAAGAAAGGGGTGGTTGGTGGCTGAAATCTAGAAACGTGATTTCGTGTATAGGGTTGCCGACTAGCTTCCAATACGGAGAGTGGTGTGGGTTAATTAATTAACTAAATATAGAGCGCCACCTACTTTTTCCCTGCAGTACACGAAATCAACCGATATAACGAAAGCAGGAAACTTCTACGGAACTATAGCAGCACAACCTGAAATATAAACGTAAACAAGAAGAAAGGACAAAAAGTGAAACGCTTTGCTAAATACAATCAGGTACGGGTTTTAATTAGAACCAGAACAGGTTGACTCTAGAACAGGTTCAAAGAAGTAAAGAAATCGCCTAGACTAGAAGTACCTAACCTATATACTCTAAAAATAGGAAATACAAAAAAAAAATTAACTCGAGTCCCTTAAAGTAAAGAGTACCGTACAACAGCAATAATACCTGAAATATAAATGTTCAATATACAAGCTCACTAAATGCAGTACCCTCGTAAATGGCCATTTAACCCCAGTGTACAAGTATTTACCTGTATTCAGTGCAGCAATAATCAAAGTGGAAGTAACAATACGTAACCTGAAGGGCTTTAATATTATGTAACATTATAGGTAGTATAGATACCTAGATACCTAATAAAATTGAAGTACCTAACCATGCATAACCTGGAAGGCAAGTTTCATAAAAAAAAAGGTGATATAGTTATAATTAATTAAAAATTGAAATAGCAACACATAATCTTAAGGATAATTGTTAAGGTGGTAAATCTGCGTTGTTGTGGTGTTTTACTCCAACAAGGGGTTGGCAAGGTTTGATACTAGGACAATAAAACACACTTGTCAAACCTGAGTAGTCCCTAATCTCTTGGGGAGAACCTGACAGGTGAGATCAATATCTTCCAGTGTTTCCAATGGCCTGGGACTGGATCAAGGCCGCAACAAGAAGCAACTGGCCCTGGGCACTAAGGCTTCCAATTGTCTAAAGGAGGCTGAAGATTGTAGGTCCTACTCGAAGTATACAGTAAGCTTAACGTATAACGTATAAGTGCGCGTTCATATTGACACCGCTCGAGCGGTGAGCGTTGCGCGATGCCGCTCTAGTGATGCCCAAAAATAATTTTAACATTATATTTCAAATGAACATGGTTACACTGGAGCGGCGCGTCCCGCGGTGTTAACATGTTCACTCGAAATATAATGTAAAATTATTTTTGGGTATCGCTACAGCGGCATCGCGCAACGCTCACCGCTCGAGCGGTGCCAATGTGAACGCGCACTAACTCTTTACTGAAAGTTAGGGACTGAAGCGTGACGAATAAAAGGGGACATCTAAGGGTAAAGATTAAAGCGTAACTTCTCAAGGTGAAGATTAAAGGCCAAAATCACTTTTGGCCTTTAGGAACAAACAATTGACCACGTTGCTATTTTTCGACTCACAAAAAAATCTGCACAAGGCGATTAGGTGCTAAAATAGCGGATTAGCCACCCTAGATCTATGAGCGAAACTCGGCAACTCAGAAATCGGCAAAAATGTGCCTGAGGAGTTTTCCCGAACACTTAATCGTGGAAAGTCCTCGACCTGAATGACCTCCGATTGTCCCTGCAAGGTCCTTTAAAAAGTCTCTGTCAAAACTCCAAGGTGGAAGGTACTGGGGAATTTTGATGGTAGTCGGGGCATGGTACTTATTCAAATTAAGTTAGTACCGGTCATGGATCCTATTTGGAGCGCTGTCAATCTAGACAATCTACTCCGATCAGACATCAGCTGTTCTAATTGTAAATATTGTAATTTTGTTTGTTAATAAATTAGTTGACTATTTATTTTAACCCTACTAACAGGAAATCAATTCCATTAATAAACCTCTAACTTAATGATTCTGGGAAAAAAATAAAAAGTTTGATGAAAAAAATTGGCTACAACTATTGGATAGAAAACAGTGGCTTGAGGAAGGTATGCTATTCAGAGAGGTGAATAGGCTTATTTCCTTTTATTTTGGTGCGGGAAAAATCATCCCGTAACAGTGTAATACCTATCATTCTCCTTTCGATTGCTCTCTGATGTACTTGTAGCTTATTTAGGATTTTCTTTATGAGAATCCATGTTTCGCTTCGATAGGCAACTACTGGCAGAATACATTCGTTGTAGATTTTAGTTTTCAGCTTTAAAGGTAATTTGGACCGGAATATGTGTCGCCGCCCACCCCAGTCGTATTACTTGTATTCTTCTATTGATTTCAAGCTTTTGATTGACTTTGCCAAGCTTTATTTTAATTTTTGTTCTAGATACTTGTAGGAGTTTACTTTTTTCATCTGTCGGTTTTCTATGATTGGAGTGTCCCTATCTGTTTGCTCATTTGTCATAAACTCTTTCTAATCCGATCTTATTGGCTTCTTGAAGTAATTATTTCAGCATGATTTCTAAGTCTTTTATTCGAGTCGAATATTACGATGTCATCAGAGAATCTTGAATTGTTGAGGTTTTCTCCATGAGTCCAGGTTGAACAGCTTAGGTGATATTATATTGCCTTGTATCACGCCTCTCTTGATCTTCACCTCATTTGTATGTTCTCGCATTCTAATTTTATTTTTGTTGTTATCGCCCAGAATTTTACCTTGTCGATGGCTTTCCTAAAATCGATGAATGCTAGCCATGTAATATTATATTCGGTAAGAGAAGCCTGCTTGTTCTTTATGTTGGTAATCATCAAATTTCCTTTCTAGGCGGTTGGTGATTATTCTCATAAAGAGTTTGTATATCTGAGACAGAAGGCCTCAGGCCTATATGGGTCTGTAGTTTATAAGATTTGATGTACAGCAGAACGACGATGGTAGTTGTGTGGTATTTTCCCTTCTGTTAAGACATTTATTGTAAAGTGTTTTCAGTTGTTTTACAAGGTATTTTCTTGCCTCCTTCAGCATTGGTAGTTAACACTGAGGCTTTTCTGTGGTTTAATTGGCTTAACGCTTTTGCAATTTCTTCTTCATCTAAATCGGGGATCTCTTCTGACCCAACATTTAGAATTTTAGATGTTTCGCTTTCGGTTTCTTGTTTGTTATTCTCGCGTTGTTGCTTTTGCGTCGTTTAGTTCCTTATAGAAATTTTCCGCCATGAGCAATACTTATACCTTCTCTGTCTTCTATAATGTTTCCTTATTCGTTCATCTGCTTTGTAATTTTTCTTTTGTGTGCGTTCTCCTTTTTGAAAACGTTTAAGCCTTTCTGTTATTATATTCTCGATTTGTGCTTCTTGGTAGTTTTTCATGTATTGTTTTGTTATCCTTCCGGGTATTTTGTTTGTCTCTCTGTATT